ATCTTCAAATAATTCAGAAATGTAGTTTTCCCATTGTTTTAACTTTTCATTGATGTCTAATATTCTGTGTCCGTTTCTGTCTTCTAAACTTTGGGATACTTGTTTCCATTTGTTTCCAGCGACCTCTTTCAATTTCTTGTGCAGATGAAATGTATCGTGTTTCTTTTCATATTGTTCAATTTCATTACATTATATGTTATACACAATCCATGTGTATAACATGAAATATTGTAGGTATAGACAATATATTAGCTATTAACATGTTATTCTCTATAAAAAAAATTGTACCAATAATCAATCCCACCTGTTGCTTCTTGTGCCGAGACTATATGCCTCTGTTGTCTTCTTCAGCACCACTGCTAATGTTAGCATTGAAATATGTAATGATTATTATTACTCACATCTCTTTGTCAATAGCATTATTTCATCCCTTTTTATTTGTCTGACTAAAGGGTTCGTTTCATTTCTGATTCGTTCATAGTGGTTGTATGCCTGTTGGGTTCTGTATTGTAAAAAGACTTCCTTCTGTTCTTCACATTTTGTCTTCACTTCCTCTCTAAACCATGGGGTTTTCTTTTTTAATATCTTAGTGTTCGTTTCTTTCGTCTCTTCAAGTGATTCTGTTGTTGCGTTAGTTATGTTGTTTTTGAGTTTCTTCCAGCTTTCCTCGATGTTATCGTTTTCTAATATTTCATTCTCAGCAATCTTCTCTGATATTTTTTTTCTATATAAGTATTCCGTATTTAGTCCTTCGATTTTGATTTTTAAGTGCCACTCTCTTGGATGTAAAGTACTTTATGTAATTCTCATTTTACATAATACTAGGCTATGGTTGCTACCTACATACATCTGCTGAGTTGAGGCATCTTACGTAAATTATTTTTGATGGATTTATATCTCTGTTGATTATAACATAATTTATCATAGATCTTTGTCCATAGATGTTATTTAATGTATATTTTATATTGATATTATAGAGAGGATAGTAATTTCTGTTTCGTACGTTATAGCAGGCAGCATACACATGTCAAAAGTTACGTAATCATGAAAATTTTGCTACTACTCTAAAATAAAAAGATCAGATACTTACCATGTCGGTTTAGTAACACAAGAATTTTTCTTCATGATTTACTATGCGATCACTAACAGGAGAATTTTATTGTCATAAATGCACGAATTTTCCTGAAGTCTATTTTTAAAAAGATCCTAAACAAAGTGGAAAGTGGTAGAACCTTCCTAATAATAAAAAGGTAAGTCCAGATTTTATTTACTGTACTTTAAGTGAAGGTGAATGAAGCTGTTAGAGAAGCCGAAGAGATGGTATCCTGTTTACGGAAGTACATAAAAGGTCATAATAACTCACCTGTTAAAAACTTTGTTCTGTGGTCAAACTGAAGTAGTGGTTAAAACCGCAGTATTAATCTAGTACTTTTAATGATGCACACATTGCATAACCATCCATCTCTCGATTCTATCACTTGACGGTTCGTACTACCAAGACATACCTTTCTACCCAATGATTTAGAATTTAGAGACGTTCAGCGCTCTTTACAGATCCAACAGCGCAGCGCTTATACGACTACATTATTGTTATACAGGAAAGCTGAGCTCAGAGAAAAAAAATTGGATCAAGACTTATGCGTTTTCAAGAGTGAGTCGTTCTTGCTCTACATGAATCCAAACACAAAAGAAGAAAACGTAGAGATAGTAGATGTAGAAAAAATGTCGACTGTAGAAATCGTTCAAAGATATGGAGTTGGATCAGCAGTTATGGCCAACAGGTAAACCACTATCCATTTTATAATTTATTAAGAAAAGCTGTACTTTATTGATGATGTTGATGGTATTGGAGTAGAAAATATGGACTTTGATGAAAAGGATCAAAATTATTTAAAACACTTTTAAATATTACTATTAGTATGTTGGTTACTGTGTTAAAACATTGTGTTGAAAAAGTAATTCCAAATTTTACTGATATAATGGTATATCACAGGTATACTATAGTAAAACATGTGATTTGCAACAGCTTATATACTTGTATTTATCTCAAAATCAGATTTGTGAGGGTTGGCTTTTGTTTGCACAACAGCATCCAAATCATATTCACAATATGTTTATATGAATGTATATATTTCCTTCTGATCCACAACTAATCTTTCAGCCTTAAAATTTTGAAATGGTTAGCTGCTAATTTGCTTTTTTTTTGTTACATTCGAACGTGGATGAAATTTAATGACACGCCTTCTACTCTATTTCTCTACTTAGATATACCAAAGGTATCCGCATATCAGCCAAGAATATGCGTTCACTACTGTACAATTTACTACCAACGTCTTTGTCACTGAATATATCTCCAAGTATACAGAAACATATTATTAACTTATCAAAACAGCTAAAAAAATCAGAATCGTCTGGGAAGCTCTAAAAAAGTTGCAAGATAAACTTGGTCCATAATAAACGATCTTCGAAATAAAACTAACACAGCTCAAACATTTTCTCTTTCAACCCTTAAAATCTAAACGAATACTTCGTTAATGTGAGTAAAAATATAACATCAACTATTTTGCCACAACAAGATTCTATTTCCTATCTCCTCAATTCAAAGAAGGTCTCGAATTCGTTATTTATAAGCTCAGTTGATAAATCTGAACTGATCCAAACAATTAGTAGTATCAAAAGCAAATATACCTGTAGTACTGATGGACTATACATAAAAATTTTCTTAAATCTCCCAAAAATGTGTTGGAAGTCCTGGTCTCATTAATTAATGATTTCTTCGAAAATTTATTATTATTCCTCTCCATAAGGGTGGTGAAAAATCGGTTGAGTTTACCGAAAGTACAAGCTGATTATAGATGCAAATGTCAAACATGGAACAAAAATTTTCGGTTTAGTAGGGTTGGCATGTTTTTATAATGTATATGATGTATGCTTCAAATATAAAGAGACAAAGCTTGTCAAACAAAATTACTTTTAGAAAACTAGATTTTGAATATATTATGTTATGAATCCTGCAATTTTTGATTTATATAAAACAAGAATCAGAAAATATATGTTTCTTTGGAGATTAATTGCAGTTATTCATTAGAAAATTTTTTTGGCAATTGCCCTTTGATAGATTTGGTAATCGTCAAATCAGCAGTTGCCAGATTGCAACGGATGTTTGCAATTAATCTCGAACGAGACAAATATTTACTCGTTATTGTTTCATATAAATTAAAAATTGCAGATTTCATAAATCAAAATGTTTTTTAAAAACTTTCTCTCTTTATATTTGAAGCATACAACATAATGCATTATAGAAACATCACAACACTGCCAAACCGAAATATTTTATTTCATAGTTGACATTTTAGGCTATATTCAGCTTGTACTTTCGGTAAACTCAACCGAAAATTCTAATGTCTGCAACTATTGCCTTACTACCGGTCCAATCCAAAATTATTGAGATTTATAAAAGCCCGACTTATGTCCTTTATCGTTGAAAACAACATTTTATCACAAACTCAGTTTGTTCTGCTTTTTATCTAATAAATGTACCAGCGATGCTATGTTTTCTGTTCTACATGAGGTCTATCAAGCACTAAACAATAATCTTTATGTTGCCACTGTTTTTTTATGACTATACCAAAGCTTTTGATTGTGTAAATCGCATTTTGATAAAAAAACTAAATTTTACGGAATTCGAGATATTTCTTTGAATTGGTTCCAATCTTACTTGAGGAATAGGAAACTAAAGCAAATAATACTGGCTCTAGTCACAAAAGCATTATATGTGTGTACCACAAGGTTCAGTACTGGGTTCTCTACTTTTCCTTATCTTTATAAATGACATCACTAACTTAAAAATCAATGTAAACATTTTTCTTTTTGCTGATGATACCAGTATTACCTGGAAGAACTCTAATATTGCAACTCTTCATGCAATTATAGCTTCTGATCTACTTAAAATAAAAACCTGGTCTGACTCATAATTTATTCTCTTTTAACGTGGATAAGACAGTAGCATTATCCTTAAAGGAGCTCTTCAACTTTTACATCTTAATAACAGCTAGATAAGTATCGTTGATTCTTTAAAATTTCTTGGTATTTTTATAGACAGCAGCCTTAAATGGTCCATTCATATCGATTTGTTAAATAAAAAACTAGCCTTAGTCTGCTATGCAATAAGATCTGTTTTGAAGGAAATCAGTTTCGCATCTTCCAAAATAACATATTTTTCTTTGTTCGAGTCTCATCTTCGATACGGCCTTCCTTTTTGGGGTTCTAGCACAGCTGTCCAATCTGATGTTATTTTTAAATTACAAAAAAGAGCAATACAGTATCTTTTTGGCCTCAGTAGAAAAACACATTGCAGAAGCTACTTCAAAAATTACGGGATTTTAACTCTTCCCTCTTTATATATTCTAGAAACTGTTTGCTTAATTCGTAATCACCTACATGTTTTTCCAGCAAGACCTAATCATGACTACTCCACCAGACATTCAACCTTTGATGTGTATTTACCGATCCCGTCCACTGAGTTATAAAGAAATCTATATTACATCCGGCAAAAAAGTTATACAACCATCTCCTTTTGCAACTTAAATCGACAACTTTTTTCCTTAAGTTTCGGAAATTGACAAAAGCCTATCTATCTGACAGACCATATTATTCAATGGAAGAGTTTATTGTGTAAACTAGTTCGTAAGGTTTTATTATGCAATTTTGTAATGGATTGTATATTTTATTATCTTTTATTTGGTGATATTGACGATTTATGTAATTTTAGTAAATTTAAATTGTTATTGATATTTTTTGAACTTTTTGTAAGCTTTGTCAATAAAATTATTGTATTATATTAAAAATATTGAACATTTTCTCACTGAAATAACGAAATCATATAAGTTTATCGTTATTGTGATTCAATGAAAACATTAATGTAAATTGTCATATGATGCGTTTGTTTTGCGCCTAACCGAATGTTGTTCGATATTTAGGAGTCAAAATTAATACAACTTCGTAATAAAAAAATTTATTAAATTCACTGCAGTGATGTTCCGTGTGAAACATACGAATATAAAATACTAACAAACGTTTAAGGCCATATAGTTCTTTCTCTCTCGTTTTTGTTAAATAGCAAAACTTCAGACCCTCATGCTCACAGTCATACTAAACCTCCACCACGTTTTTCGTTTGATAAAAAAGCTGCTATCTCTCTCTAACCACAGTTACCACATTAAAAATATAAATAAAATATAACAAACTATATAAACATCATCAAATCATCCAAATTGTTTAACTTTAATATATAAATTTTAGTTGTCAAAATGTCCTATAACTAAATACAAATCTGCCATTGAACACTCATTTTTGATAAATCAAAATTAAATATAGGTACCAATAATTCTTAAAACAAGTCCTTTATTTGTTTCTGCTCATATCATTGTTCTACTAGATCTATAACCGACTTAAATGCAAACAAGACAAAATTACAAGATATAATACAACGAATTACGACACTAAAATTGAAGTGGACAGGGCATGTTGCGACATTGACACTGGATTACAACCGCTCAAGAAAAAGCATCGTGGAGCAGTTTAATGGAAACCAATCTCTAATAGTTTAGACAACATCAGGGTGGGAAATGATGAACCCAAAACAAACTTGAAGCATTGATCAGATAAATATTGAGACCGTTATTCTATCTACCTAAGTCTCCGTCTTCTATATAACATGTATCTTCTCCTTTTTTAAAAATTTTAAAGTGTTTGTTTGTCTTTGTGTATTGTATTGTTATGTCCAAATTTACATGTATTACATTCTGCTCATGTCGGACAGGCCACAACTGACGAAATGCCCCTGAGGATGATCTATTGATCGAAAGTACTTGGGCAAGATTTAATAAATTACTGTGTTCGATATTTGCCTTGTATACCATCAAAGTTTAATTATTCGAACATTCAACCTTATATTGTTTTATTATAAATGCCGCCCAATCAATGATGGTAACACTAACTCTAAAAATTCATCAATGAAAATAGCAAGATCATAACCAAATCGAGCAAGTGTAATAAACGCCTAAAGGAAAACCTTGTTTGTCTGACGGCTAATTCTACAAAAGGGATAACTACAGTTTAAAACAGAAAAAATAAGAACGAAAATTCATATAACTAAATTTGTAAAAGAATACTTTAAAAGGAAATAAAATCCAGGAAGAAGTCAGTTTAAAGCACTTAGTTCACCGTGACGGAAAACTTCGGGAAATCTACACCATAGAGTAAGTGGAAGTCCTACCTTATCAACAAGATCATCAAATTATAAACTTATATAATTCACTATTCTAGGCGAAGATTCAGCTGTGTAAAGTGTAGACTAAACTAATTCTATTTAACATGACCGGTTTTAATTTCAAGGCAAAGGTACATTGTAGGATGGTATAAAAACAGACGGCAATTTACCAATAAATATCTGGGGTCTATTACTCAGAACACATTACCATGAATCAATAAAATAAAGACTCCCATATACTCTCCAGAGGAAACTCACAACAAGCAAAACTTCTAGATCTTACAGCCAGCTCCTCCGGAAATGACAAAGTACCAGAAATATTCTTTAGTAAAAACTACATAGAGATTTAAAAATTAAGCAACTGAAGTTGGTCTGTGTCGTTTCAACTGACAAGTACCACGTGTTAATATTCGAGCAGGGAGACATGTAGTCCCTAAAGTAATTTTAAAAAAATCTATCCATTGTCATCGACCTGGAGTCAAAACATTATTAAATGTAATATTTAGAATGCTGTAAATCCATTCATGGAGGTCTTTTAGACAACTTAATTGTTAGCAACAAATACACAAGGCACTGAGGATGATCTGTTCAGATTGAAAACGTTCTGCCATAACTTAAATGTTGACAACACTTTTATAAAGTTTTAAATATTTGTTTGTTTTTATACCACAATACACATGTGTGAAGTGTTTTAACTTCTGTGTTTTTTTAAACGATGGTATACAGCCAACTACGGGGTTTTTCCCATTAATTTTAAATACTATGTTGTTATGAAAATGATTTAATGAATAAAATGAATTATTTTGCTGTTTACTTCTTCTTTTGTATTTCCCCATGGCTTCTTGCCTTCAGGGATAAAGTAATCTCTCAATTTAGTTATATATGAGATTTCGTATCTTCGTAACTTCTTAAGTTTATCTCACAAATTGACAACTATAAGTTATAAGATAACAATTTAACTGTGGATAAAGATTTCATTTAAAATATAACTTCCTAGCATTGTCTAATACAAACTATAAGAAGATCCATGGTTTATGTATAACCAAAAATGTGAATTTCATATAACTCTTGTTTCATTTTATATAAAATGTTTGTTTTACAATGGTAATTGAATCGTGCTCTCCATATTTAGCCGTAAATTTCGCTCTCTTTCATTTATCGAAGTTTTAAAGCGACCCACTTCGTAATATTTCCGTTGCTATGAATAAACCTTGCAAGTCATGTTTTATACAGTATGTTTTTGAACGTACTAAATAAAAGCGTTTTGATTTAACAAAGAAAACCAGCTACCTTCAGTAGATGCCTTCAAATAAAACACAAGAAGAAAACTCTTGTAATGTTTGATTTAAACAGATCTAAAACTTAAGTCTCTTATGTAGTTTATGAAAATAATGTCATACCGCCAATTTTGAGAATAAATATATGCCAATATAAGAGATTAATAATATATACAATAGTTTGGAAGAGCTACAACTTTTTCAGTTTAGTAACATAAACCTCAGACCTTCCTACGAAAAATAAAACATGTAGCACTTGTAAAATAAAACGAATTCTTGGGAAAATAAGAGCCAAAAACTCTTTTGTTCGAAATAGTGAAAACCCCAAAAACGAATTTATTAATACAAAAAATATTAATATATAAATATAAAAATTTTTATTACAATAATCTATCTATAAGTTTCGCGGAACTTGACCAGTATTTCTTATCTTCGCTATCAATATTTTTGAAAAATTATGATTTTTCGAAAATAATAGTGGTCCCGATACAGTTCCTAACAACTAAACTAAGTACACAACACAATACTTTTCTGTTTGTAGATTAAAGATGGTTTGGAATGGGCATTGGAAGTTTCAACTTTCGTTTTGTTCAATGAGCCATATTTGTTAAGTTAATGAATATTTAATGGGTTAACGATGCGAAATGTAGCAAACACGGCAAATTTTTAAATTATATTAGGTTAGCTAGTGGGTGTTAGTTGCAGTGTTTTTTTAAATCTCAAAAATGAATATGTCGTCTTTGAGCAATGTATAATGACGTGCATGGATTTCATATACGCAACTTTTAAACACAACAATGCAGCAAAAATATCATAGCAAATACTATGTAATCTGTCACTTTTTTCGCGAACAATATCTATTATTATTCGTAGCAAACTTCACGAATACTTCTTATATTCAACTATCAAATATTTGAATATTAACATTTTTATTTGTACGTGGTAAATGTTTCAATAAAAAGTAAACAATTACTTTTTTTCCAGTTGAACCAATGTCTTCCACTCATCCCAAACCATCTTGTGTAACTAACATAAATAAAAAGATAAAACTACTTTTAAAAAACAGTTTGTACTACATACTAGTAATACGTGATTAATTAAAAAACGTTTAAAAATATGCGGAAGGGAAATACTGATCATGTTGATATGGCATATCATTTGACCATTTTGGAGGCATATTAGCCTCCGAATGTGGATTTAGGGGTCGTCTTCTGCCAATGCCAATGGGGCTCGCAGTAGAATATCGCTCACTTGGATCTCTTTAATCTGAAAAAAAGAACAGCTTTGTTGAATAAAATGTTCATGTTGGTAGCAGTACATTAGTTGGGTATCTAATATTTGTCAGTTTGTCAACTCAAAATATGGACAAAGTCAAAATTACCTTAGGAAATAAAAAAAAAATATTACACTGTGGTCTCGAAATTGCATCATACCACTTTATTAAAATAAAAGGCACAAAATATAAGTACATAATACATTGTTAAGGTCTACATAAAAAATATACTCGTGTTATCTATATTGATTGTTGACATACCATAGTATATATTTGAAAGGTTAGGAATATCCTAACCAAGTCTTGTAAACTGAAGCTATGTATATATGTTCTCGGGAAGAACCCCGTTGAGCATTTAAACCTCGACGTTTCGGCACCCATTTTGAATTTTTTATCAAGAGAGATATGGTTCCGTTCGAGTTCAGTATCTCAATTTGCCCACTTCCCCCACTCGTGACGTAACAGTATCTTGTTCTTCAGAAATACGAGAACCCTCAAAAGTCACTGAGGTCTCAGTCTGCCTATTTGATGAGTCACTCAATCCTGAGGTGCAGTATTCGATACATCAGCGAGTGCAGTGTCTCAATGTGCATCATTCTCAAGATTAAGTTCCTGTCAAGCTTGGTGATAAGTGGCGCATAGCTGACCGTTGACTGTTCTTAAATTTTGGAAGGATGTCGGTTCACGTACACTGATTAACAGCAATCGCAGATAGAAGCATTCTGTATTGTTCGGGTGAACAGTGTATAGGCGACCCAATGCGTTACTGGAATACAATTTGTCCTTTAACTGCTTTACCTTGTTTGCGACGTTGAAACTTTTTAGCCGATCCATTCCATGTGTACAATTTCGGTACCTCAGAAGAACGTCTTTGCAAAAAGATCACCTTGGCACAATAAGTAAAATGCAGTTAAAGTTGCCGGTGGAACCAACACATTGCGGCCACATTGCCTACTCCGAAAACTGCCATGTAGCTTCATTTGTTGGCATATATGCAAGTGTATTTGATCGACTTCATTGAACTGCAATACCCAATATTAATGTGTGCTTTGAAGGTCTTTGAGAGCAAGTTGAATATGGTACGACCCATCGATTATCGACTTCCAAAGTTTCGTACTTTCAGAACGATGGATTTGCCGTCATCCTTAACTGATCGTCGACGATACAGTGGGTATCCGTCAATGCCAGTGATGGTATCAGAAACCAATATTCTTGGGTATCGTTTCGTGCATTTCATATCAGACATGCATGGTGAATTCTTGAGTCACATGGGCCATGAATCATATTTTTCGTAATGACGTCGAATAAGGCTGGATCAATATCATCTGGTATTTCTGCTGAGACGATTTGATCAATTTGATATGTGTAATAATTTTTCAAAGTATCGGTCTTTTACATTCCCGCGAAAAATCAACCTTGCCAAAATTTGGGTTGAGAAATACATGTAAATATAAAAAATAAATAATTTGATTACCAGCTGAAAGAAGAATTGTTGGGTTATCCAGAAACAAAATGGAAACTAAATCCAGAAGCTATACCTAATACTTATTTACCAACTGAAAGCCCTTCTTGTTCCGCATAATAATCTAGTAGAAAATACCGGACAGAAACAAAAAAGGAGACAACTAGTCGAAAATTTATTGGATAATAAGTGAGTACTTACAATGCCAGAAAAAATGTTTATTGATTTAATTTATTAAATTCTAGTGTATTGCCAGCGGTAGTATCCAAAGACAAAAACATGAAAATTTAAGGTAACAACCAAGAAAATAGTTACCTTATATATAATAGTTGTCTTTCACGTTCAATTGGCACTCAGACTGGTTCAATTGAATATGCAGAAAAAATTTTACAACTTAAAGAAGAAAATAAACAATTGCGAATCATGTTGGAAAATATAAGGTCAGAGACAGATGCTGTAGAAAAAATTTCTACTAAACGTCAGTTAAGAAAATTAAAAACTAGAAAGCAAATTCAATGGTCCATTGAAAACGTGGCTTCAGCACTTTCCCTGCATGCAGGAGGACCACGATCTTATCGTTTATTGCGTAAATAAGGGTACCCTCTGCCTGGAATTCGTGCCTTAAGAAGATGGGTGTCCAATGTAGAAATTCGTCCAGGTAAACATTGTCAAAATTTATTTTAACCCCCTCTGTGGTTCAGTGGTAAGTGCGCCTACCTTTGAACCTAAAGGTGGTGAGTTCGAATCTCACCTGAGTGGAGAAATTTTTGTTTATTAAAAAATTTATAGATAAAAATAATTTCTCCTGTTTAGAAATTGAGAAACTGGAGCAACAACAAGACAGCTTCCATTTGCATAAAAAACTAAAAGAATTAACAGGCAAAAGCAGAACTTATGGGCAACATATATCACAAGACTCTGGTGGTAGAATTTTAAGTGATATTAAAGAGCGCTGTACCGAATGGGAAAATTACACAATAGAATTATTTAATGATGACCAAAGAATCTACCAAGAAATAACATCTAACCGAGATACAGGCCCACCGATTCTAATCTCAGAAGTTCAGAAGGCTATCGACCAAGCGAAACGAAGGAAGGCTTCTGGTCCTGACGAAATACCTGCAGAATTGTTAAAACTATTAGATAATTGGAGTGTTGCGATTATCACATCCTTCTTTAATAAGATATACAGCAGCGGCAAATTACCAGACAACTGGTTAGAATCGATATTTATAACTATTCCCAAGAAAAAGAATGCCAGACAGTGTAGCGACTATCGACTATCAGCTTAATGAGTCACACGCTCAAAATTTTTATGAAAATATTGCATTGTCGCATATATAAACTTTGTGAGGGGATAACTGGTGATGAGCAGTTTGGTTTCCGAAACGGTATGGGTACTCGAGAAGCTCTTTTTTGCATGCGAATACTCTTACAAAAGAGCAATGAGTTTAGGAAAAATATTTACGTATGTTTTATAGATTTCGAAAAAGCCTTTGATAGAGTACCACATACATTATTATTTCAATGCTTAGACTCAGTTGGTCTGGACACGTATGACATTAGATTGCTCAAAAATCTTTACTACAATCAGACCGCTTGTGTTAAGGTGGACCAAGAGGTTTCAGCTAAAGTTTCTATTAAGCGTAGTGTCAGACAGGGATGTGTTATGTCACCGATGTTGTTTAATGCCTACACTGAACCAGTTTTTGAAATAGCGTTAAATAATCGCCGCGAAGGTGTTAAGATCGGTGGTGAAATTATTAATAATATCAGATACGCTGATGACACCGAAATAATGGCAGAGAGTCTAGAAGATCTTCAAACCCTGTTGAATGCTGTAAACAACGAATGCACTGAAAAGGGCTTAACAATCAACGCAAAAAAAAAACAAAATGGATGGTGGTCGGAAAAATTAATGTCGAAGACTCAATACTAAGATTAGATAACAAAATCCTGGAAAGGGTGGAACGGTTTAGATATCTGGGTAGCTGGATTGACTGCAGGGTTGAAAGTGACGAGGAAATTTCGACCAGAATAGAACTCGCACGGAAAAACTTTATTAACTGGCGTTCTATATTATGCAGTAGAAGTCTGTCGTTGACCACACGTCTAAGAGTATTGAAGTGCTACGTCTGGTACACTTTGTTCTATGGATGTGAAACCTGGACAACAAAAATAAAAAATCTTAACAAATTAGAAGCGTTTGAGTTATGGTGTTACTGTCGCATGCTCAGAATCCCGTGGACAGTACACATATATAACGAACGTGTGCTAGAGACCGTGCACAAAGAGCGAGCATTGATCAACATCATCAAAATGAGAAAGGTTCAATACTTCGGTCATATAATGAGAGGACCTAAATATCGCTTACTCCGGTTAATCATTCAGGGCAAAATCGAAGGAAAACGTTGGGTCGGAAGAAAACAACTGTCCTGGCTGCGTAACATTAGACAATGGACAGGTCGAACGGTCGAGAAACTGTTTCATTTAGCTGCCGACCGAGAATCATTTCATCAGCTTGTCAATATGACGATAGCCAACGCTTGAATACAAGCCCGGCACACAAAGAAGAAGGATGTACCAACATTTAAATCAGCGTGCAGTGTTCTTCTTGATCGAGCGGTGCTTATTCGAACATTTTGCAGCGTTCTTTCTCGTTGTTCTGTTGTCTCAGACGAATGGGCCTGAGTAGTACGTATTCGACCAGTTTCAGATGAACGGGTCTCAGCGACATGAACACGAATATTTTCCAGTCTTAATGCTCGTTGCTCGTATGATTCCGATGCTCGTAATGCTCTTTTCTTCCGTGCGTGAGATGTACATCGGCCAATTGCTTGTCGCTTTAGAGACATAATTGTACGAGAACGATAGGAAAAATGCGTTTGAATTTATTAGATGTCAATCAGCAATCCGAATCTCACAGTGTATCCAATCCAATTGAAACGACTGTTCACGCACGGATGGAGATATTGCCTACAAGATCGAGGCCAAATATGTCACTTTTAAAAGACATAACCTATCAACAATTCATTGGTTATACCCGTCCAGCTTTATGAACACTTCAGTTTACAAAACCTTCATTAATAAATCAAACCTACAAATGTACCCCGGTTCTTCCTCTAAAAGATCCCGACCATACTTGTTACATACACATGTTATTTTGTTTAAAAACCCTACACCAACATACTCAACGAAATCATTTATACAGTGTTAGATATAAATATATTTTTTTAGTAGATAAAAGTAACTACAGAAAATTAGTACTGTAGATCGCTGGAAGATCTGAATAGCTAACCTCTAAATTTGCCGGTGTTCCGTCCTCCAGATTTTCTATAACTACAAGCAACAAAAAACACATGTAAAGCGTTGACAAAACACAGGTTCATCACAATCACATGTTTTGATGATACTGAATTATATTTCATGAATAGAATGAAAATGTATGATTCTGTTTCTATTGCAGTTCACCGCTAAAACTCGATGCTACGAACGACATTTTGTTGCATGTCTATACACTAATTGCTAAACCTTTTTGAATATTTTGCTATTTTATTTATAATTTTTCAACCATCCAATTTGTTCTATCTTGTGTTATATGAATTAGATACGAATGAGATTTCACCTGTCATGTATCTATTTTGTGTCATCTGTCATTATTTCATTGTCTTTTTTATTTTATCACATGATCTGACTCTTAACCTGAGCTCTTCGGCTTTTTTCTACTGTGTTTTTCACAATTGTGTTTATGGTGAAATATGACAAAAAATATCCCATGACATACCATGGGACACTTTTTAGGGAATGCAATTTTACAAGTTTTCGTAAGTTATTATATACTGTCATGCACCGTAGGCAATCAAACAATATCATGAAAACATAAGTATTTGTGTCTCTACACTCCAAATACTTGGAGAATAACATATTAGACTGATAAAAATAACAATCTCTGATTGTCAACTTCTGTTTTGTTATTGTACCTTCTTATTGCCGGTGACTGATATATATATATATATATATATATAATGTATTTCCAAAGGCAATGCTGCTTCCGATTGTAACTTTTCTGTCTCAAAACAAGTCATCTAATACTCTATCAGTGTACTTTTTTCTTCATATCCTGTGGTTACTCATTCTTATAATTAATTTGAATTCTTAATTTTCGTCTTGAAGGTTATACAAATGCGAATGAGCGTCATTTTGTAAAATTATTTTAAATAGGATCATATGGAAAGTAATATCTTATAGCTCTTCTCAAATCTAACAATATGCTGAGTAATACAAATGTGTCACATGTCATATATGGTTATTTAAGAAAAATAATGATGGCGTCATATTATTGACAGATACCAATAAATATTCAAATGAGTATACCAGAATGTGGAGAATTGAAAAACAAATGTTTGAGCATTGAGAAATGAATATGTTCCGTAAAATGCAAGGTACAAGAGCTTTCGAACGGTATATGTCATATTGTCATCTAAGAACAAATTCAATGACGACATATTTTGACAGATATCAATAAATATATAACTGAATTCTATGAGTATATGGAAAACGAGAAAAATAAACTGACCTGAACCAGCGATTTCCATAAAAGTGGAAACCTATCAAATTGTTTGTACACCGTTCCATTGAAAATTCAACGTTCGTCATTTACAAGTTTCGTGACAGATTAGTACAAATATCTAGAAAATACTGAGTGGTACAGAGCTTTTAATCAATGTATTACTTGCTATATAATCTAATTTAAAATAACTTTAAACAATATTGCCCGTTGGCCATTTTAAATAATGATTAAGTCACTAAGACAAGATAAAGTCAATGTACAATGTAACACCTTAGTGCAGTTATACCAAAGTATATGTGTATGCCAATAAACAAATTGTCCTTAAGTAGATGCAACAGAAAAGAAACTACGTGATAGAACACAATGATTGTGATGAGTATTGAAAAATGATTCAAATGTTTTAACAATCTTAGATCAAATAATTTAAAATATTTCTACTATCAGTGATTAGTTAATGGTGCTCATTATAGTGTTTTTATGTAATAAATATCATCTTTCTCGCATATTTTAATCATTCATACTTAGTAAGGATGTAATATAAAGTAATCTGAAGTAGAAAATGATAGTTATAAATGATATAGACTATAGAAATGGTGATAGTTATAATGTGATCATATAACAGTGTTCATGATTTTTTGTCGCTTAGACTTTAACTATGTTTTAGTAACGCAATAAGTTGAGCTTATTGTTTAGATTATTTGGTCCGGATTCGTAATCAGATGCATATCAAGCACCGAGTTGTTAAGTTTTTTTTAATAAATCTGAAATTTGACTGACATATTTTTAATTTAATTTTTTTATTTATTTTCCAATGAAGTGACACAAATATATAGTCCGTCTAGAAAGTATCCGGAATTTTACATTTTTCCTAATTTTAATAGATTTCCTTTTTGTAACATTTTAAGACAAAAGTAATACATCAAGTAGGTTGTGCCGATAGTAGGTTATGGACAAAATCGCATGACAACACCATAAACATTGTTGTTTGTAAACAGACTTAAGATTTGTGAAATAATGTCGCAAGTATAAAAAAGAAAAGTGGCGGAATATTTGTAGAAGGGTGTCCGAAACGTTAAAAAATGAGTGCAATTGACTGAACTCGAAAAAAAAGAAGTGTATGAGACAATAAAGAGGATAAAAAATGGCACTGACATGAGACATAGACCAGTTTCGCGTAGACCGCGTAAGATTCGCGGAAACAATTTAAATGCTTTAATGGCTTTAGGGCGACAAAATCCGCGCCTCTGGTTTCTAAAATTAGCGAACAGATTTGGAAATCAACGAATAATAAAATTGTGCCCAGAAACTGTCCGCATGACACTGAAAAAGCAAGGCTACATATCAAGGAATCCAAAAAAAATCCCTACAATGACACCTCTGCAAAGGCAACGAAGAATAAAATTTTGTCAACGTTTTCGAGAAGATAATTTTAACAATGTCTTTATATCTGATGAAACCAACATTTCCCACCAAAATAATGGTTTGGGGAGCAATATCTCAGCGTGGTACTACATCTCTCTGTATAGTTAATGGTACTGTTGATAGTGCGAAATATTGTGACATCCTAAATGGTTTTCTTCTCGAAACGCCTCATGTTTTATATCCAGAGGGTGGCGTTATCAGCAAGATAATGCAAGATGCCATACTTCTGCATATACTTAAGCTTGGATGCAAGAGCACGAATTGGCAACAATTCCGTGGCCAGCAGCATATCCAGATCTTAGCCCTATTGAAAACATATGGGGACTGATGAGATTGAAGTGGAACGAGCAGCACCACGAGATAAATAAGGTTTGATTCGGTCAGTTTTACAGGCCTGGAACTCCATTACCGAAAATTATGGCTTTGACCTAGTTTCTATCACTTGAAATAAAAAAAATTTATATTTCAAGTGATAGAAATAAATACCGTAAAATTATAATTCTGCTTTCTTTTTTCCGGATACTTTCTAGAGGGACTATATGTTATTAAGGACAAGTATGATATGTGAAATCAAGATTAAAACAAGATATTCAGGAAGATTAAAAAAAACGAATGTAAGTTGTTAAAGTAATTCACAAAGTCATCTCCAATCTTCATTAGAGAAAGGAATTCAAAAAAGAAACTGTTTTTCACAAATATTGTCATAAAGTCAATTAATTTTTGTTATATAAATTTTAAACTACGAGATACAAAATGAGCTAAAGTAAACTTTCTTGTGAAATATTATTTCTATTAATCAGAAATATTATTTATGACAATTGAAAAATAATATTATCCTATCGTTGAAACCCTAAGATTGTTAATCCATTAGAAGAGATCCAACTAGCAAAAAATGACCAAAGGGGAAAAACAAAAACAAAAAGCAACACTCACTAGCCTCTTGACCCGTCGTCACGGTTGTAGTAGTACTATTCGACGTGGCAACGCCCTCTTGAATGCTACTATTGGTAACGATTGTCGTCACAGTTTTCGTAACGGTTACATTGTTAAGCTTTCTGGCTAAATCCTCACCTGAACCGAGATGATCCTTTACGCTATCGATGGTTATGTCACCGACGCTGCTCGACACCGTCACGTTGTGCAATGTTTCGTCGCCGTTTGTTCGTGCATCCTCAGACTGAAACATTAGAAATTACCATTAATATATACTAATAAAAACAATTAACAGGCTATCTACACACGCACAGACATATATTTCAAGTTTTTATATAAATTTTAATAACTACTATTTAATAAACTCGCTTACTTTGTCTGCGACGCTGCCCTCTTTACTTTCAGCATTGCCGTTGACTAAAGGGGCCTCTGATAATTCCAATACCTCGTGTTCTACTTCCACCTCGACTTGTTCGCCGTCATCTCTTGCTCCAGCCGGTAGAGGCAAGTAACATCGAGCCATAGTTACGCTGCAAGTCGCCAAAGACAGCCTCTGAAGCTCTGACGAGGAATGGAGGTACAATGCTTGAGCATCTTTGGTGAACACCAGAGACGATACACCACTGAAAGATAAACAAAGTTTATTAATGGAATATCAATATTATTAAAATTAATATTTTATGTTCAGTAGAAGTGATAGTTGATTTTACAATTTAAATTTTCTAGAAAAATAGGTAACAGATCTATCCCCAAAAACCGTTCTTAGTATATTGTGTGTAAGTTACTAAAATATTACCAAACTGGACAAGGGGAAATTTTGATGGATAGAAATCAAAAGAACAGGATGGTTTCAGAAAACAATGTAACTGTTTGGGAAACAACAATAGCATGTACCAAATTTTGGTTAGATTTAGAGTTAGAGTGGTAGAGTTTTTAGAGTAAGAATTTTGTTTATGTTTTGATTTCTTACACACTTTGATCATAATATAATATATATTAATAAATTGTATTTATAAATACATATTAAATTTAGATTAATAGCTTTAAAGACTAATTATTGTTGTGTATTGTGGTTGTGCTATGCCAAAACAAATAAATACTCTGTAGAAAGCTGATAACCTTTCATATAAGATAGATTATTTTGAACAAGAAATAACGGCGGGACGTTTTTACTAGTAAAGCCCTAAGAGAGGTAAGTACAAAATTTAGAATATATAATTTTGTATTAAAATGTTTTCTTATGTATTTTAGTGTGTTGCAGTAGTCTTAACACTAAGTGTATTTACTGTTAATATATTAGTTTGACAAATACTTAACATTTTATAAATTCTTTACTAACTATTCTAATGTTTTGGCAACGCTGTGGGGTTCTGAAGTCGTAAATCTTGAATAACGTACAAGCATTTTTATATGAAAAATGCTATATTCAATAGATTTACGTCATATTTAATTTACGCAGTACATGTTTTTTGATATTAATATTTTCTGGGTACAGTATCAAAAGTTTACTCATGATTAAAGGTGAATAGGATTAACTGAACATTAATTTTACATTCTCTTTATATTAATTTATTTGGAATACAATTAATCCGCTCCAAAGAGCACTGTTTTTTTTTGTTTGTACCTGTAACGTTTATTATTGCTGTGTTAAGTAGCTTACGCTATGCTACGATAAACAAATGTTTTATTATATTTGAATGATTTTCATTTAATCGCAATATTTATACAAAATAAAAACAATGTATTATAAAATGAATTTTACAGGCACGGATCAGATATATTTTTCTTAATTTACGTAGAGCTTTTATAACATTGTTTTACATATTTAAATGTTTTTTATGACTTTTAGTTAGGAGAATACTAAAATTTGGAAAATTAAGAGTAGACTAGTGATTAGACTAGAGTAGAATAGTGATTAGAGTAGACTAGATTAATGATTTAATAATATTGAACAAAAATCCTTAATGGTTATAAATTAGCTAATATTGTAGATCTAATAACACTTACTTTATATCTTCCCTTTTAATAGCTGCTGCGTTTAGCTGCCTCTTGAGATCTGGAATGCTTAGTACTAGACAATCGCCCATGTTTGTTAAGCAGAGTAAGTCCACTTCGGAATGTTTTACTTCGTCCATTTGGCAACTGAAGTTAGCGAAAGCCATTCTCCTCACTCGTGCCCCTGAAAAATCATAATGTTTATAAAATGTTCGTTGAGTTTTATAATATACAAACTGAATTAAGATATTCGTTGACTGAAGCTCAGCTATTAGGTTTTTAATTGAATTTAATTTAAAATATAGAACAACAAAGCTTACCTTCATGCGCCGTCAATTTGTATTTACAGAAAGGCTTCAAACTGGGAAGAGTGAAGATTTTGAATTGTTCTTCTGATGCGATAACAACTCGATGTGCCTGAGTTGTATCCGGCAGTGGTGCCACTCCTTTTTCTACTTCTAAAGGTTCCGGAAGGGGTTTACTTGATCCATCCAATACGGCTATGCCTATCACTGGAGCCCTAGAATCATAATGATTTAAAATACAATCGTAGAGGGGAAAATAATGGTTTACCTGTGTTTTAACTGAATTTCTTTCGCTAGCATGCACGAAACGTCATCTGTGTCTCTTTTCGAAGACGACGGAACTGTTATGGTGAAGGCGTAGACAGTTCCATTATTTGTAGCTGCCCAAAGTGTGGGGTTGGTGTTTTGCACTAAAAGATTTTCAATAATAAATAAAATTCCACAAAAATTTATAATATGGAAGCTACGTAATATACGTACCACTGACTAAAAATGTTCTGGCGAAGTACAAACACCTTACAAAAGATCCCATGGAATCATCAGCTGGTCTTGCTTCGATCTGTCGTTCAACTGGTTTGGCCTCCAAAGGATTTACATTCTCATCAGTAGCCGCCGGTAAAGTTCTCTTAGTTGGCGGGGAAGTAGCTGATTTTTTGTCGTCTTTATTAGTGTTCCGACGCTGGGATCTACCTTTCCTTAGACGCCTGAACGACTCTCTTAAAGACTTTTTGAAGGATTTTCGTCGGGATATTGGAGTGTCGCCCGCTCCAGTGAGATCTAAACAGAAACACCGTTAAATAATAAGGTTATAAGTAAGCTCATTACATGTTGTCCAGTAATATTTAGATTCCCATTCTCTCCATAAATAATATTTGTGTAATTATAATCGAAGGGAATTTACTCACAATTGTATAATTGCAAATATTTCATTTACTGTCGCTAAGAGAGGGTTCGATGTCGCCTTGAGTATATCAGAGCCAAATAGACGGTTCATCGGGTCTATATCGGGTTCATATAGCAGATCTGTTAAAGTCCCGAGGACTTTAACAGATCTACTATATGAACATATATATATATATATATATATATATATATATATATATATATATATATATATAATAGATAATGGAAGATGTACAGTCAATGTAAGCCAATTGGCTACAGTATTGTTTGGGCAACCTGAATTACCAATCTCGTCATCGTTGGTTGCCTAAGGTGTGGAGACTAGTACATTCATGCACAAAGTAATGAACTTGTAAAATGAACAGTGAGAACTATAATGAACATATTTAACAAATGTCGAGAATCAGGTAGAGACCCCTATATTGCTATAAGAAAGAAGAACAATGAATGTATGTTGCAGAAAGGAGAATGTTTAAATGGACGATTCGATTGAAAAAAAGTAAAATTTAAAATTAATTTAATAGGGAAAATCCAAATGTGCAACAATTAATGCGTCACGAACATGTCAAATAAGGATCACCTGAATGAGGAGTCCCAGTGTAATTTTTTTCCAAATAGATAGGAAATAATAAAAAAAAACACAAGGTGGTAGACAACAACACAAGACATGCCTAGTAGAGGTCAATCTTTGTTTGAGTCAAAATAAATATATGAAGAAATGTAATTCGGGAAGCTGATGGCGAATAGAGACAAAGTCACATAATATATTGATGATGACTGATACTGACAAGATTTATAATTTGTAATCTTTATTTAAATCTATCGCGATTCATTGTACCAATCTTTATTGGAACTTCAAAAAATTCTAATGTCGATATAATGTGTGTAAAGTTACAAAAAAAACAAAATTTTAACTTATTTATCATCAATACATTTATCATAATATGAGAATGGTACTCACCATTAGGATTAAGAGTACATTTGACCAGGATAGGTTTGTTTTTGATGTAATCCAAAAGTGCAAGTCCATGAGCTGTGCCGACTGAAACCAATCCCCAATCTGCCTGAAGAACGTTGCATGTGATAGCTGCGGGTGGATGAACTTGAAGAATGGCAGTTGCTTGGAATCCTCTAGATTGGCTTATACTGCCTGTGTATAAAATATTAGGTTAATATGTTTGTAAAGAGCTTTCTTTGATTTGAATACATTGAAAAAAGTTCCTTGTCACTATGTAGAAATACTGTATTCTTAATTCTGTAGCATTACAAATATATATTATAATCTTTTGGATAAAGAGAGTAAATAAATCAGAGAAAGTAAAAAGTTCTTGATATGATCCATAAAATACACTGGTACAAACGGTATTAAGGTTTTATATTAGAATAGATCCATTGAAGAAAAAAAATCGTAATCGACGTAGAACCATATAAATATACGGCTCGATGGTAGACTAGTTACCATGCTGAATCATGCTTTGACATTGTCAATATAAAGTTTGGTTAGACCTATATTTTAACAAATATTTGAAAGAAAATTAAGTAAAAATGGTATTTAACATATTAATTATTAACAAATATGACTTCTATATAAAAACAGTAAACAGCTATACTTTTTTTTGTGCTAATTGACAATATTTTTGTCTTCTCAACTCCTGTTGACTATTGATTTTAGTTGAAGGTGGCTCCACTGATTCCAGAGAGATCTTGAAATGTTAGAATTGTTGTTAAAATTATTTCTTAGACAAATAACATTTTCTATAAGATGGACACCCACAAGTTGTGACGTCAATCCAAAGGAGTATATTATATATTATAACTGTTTCATGAGAAAATAAAATTGTCGCTTCTACTATTTTATTTAGAATTTCATCATATTTCTTATTTAATTTTAATTTGATGGATTTTTTTATCATTTACAAGATTTAAAATCATAACACATAAAAAGTTGGTGAATTAGGAGGGCTTAGGACACTACCCAGTACTACATTTGAATTGTGGTATCTGTCAAACGCGAGAAATTTAAATAATCGTTAAGTTTTCCAAAAATTTTCAATTTTCTGTACTAATTTCTTAATAATTTTGATATTTAATTAATAAAATAAATCACTTTTATTATAAATATTTCCAGAGAGACAAGTTTTAAAATATTAGTCAACTGCTATTGAAACTTTACTCTCATAAATTAATTTAGCTGTCTCAACGATAGTAAGTGCGTATTTATTCAGACAAAAATTTTTCATTTTGGATGGTTTAATACCAACTACCCATTAGACTAAAGTTGATAAAAGTGAAATGTACATTTTTTATAAAACAAATTCATTGTTTATATTTTTAATAGGGGAAGAAAAATTTTTCTTTACCCTCGTATCAAAAACCAATACAAATTGACTCACCTTGTTTTGGGGTTAGTTGTCCGTGTCCTTTCCAAACGAATCCATCTCTGTCACTGACAATGTTCATCGATGAAACTTTTAAAGGCCCTTCTAGTACTTCAGTATCGAATTTGGCAACTACAGTTTGTCCTGCGGTGCCGCTAACCACCAAAGTACCAGACAATGGACAAAGGGTTATTCGTTTGACTGCCAATCTTGGATCATCGGAGTAGGGATCAAAGATGCCTGTTTTTTTAAAAGGAGGCCATTCATCTTCAAGGTCTTCTGGATCAGGATGTACTTCTAGAAGAGAATACAAAAATATTATACAGTTTATTTTAAAGCATAAATAGTAATACATTTTAGTATCTTAGCATACTTTGTTACTAGGATTTCTATATACAAGTTCTGAGAGGATCGAACAGAAAAATACTGGGCAAATGCAATATTAAGTCAAGTATACCTTATAAAAAAGTAGAAATTAAAATAGCGAAGAAGACCCCGCCTACTCTGCGCACAGGACCAATCACAAGAAGTGCTACAAGGTATTTAAACTCAACGTACAGCGACCGACCGAGAAATCAGTTCTCCTGAAACATCAAGACGAACCAGAACTAATCCGACTTGACAATGGCAAGTGTGACCTTGCCGAAACGTCGTCAAAACAATGGTTTTTCTAAAAACATTGAAAAACAACTGAAATCACATATAGCTCCCGCGGAAATTTCAAATCCAATATATATATATATATATATATATATATATATATATATATATATATATATAATATAAATTATATAAATTACAAACAACAGTAAATACAAAAATATTATTCTACAAACAAACATCTAGATTATAAATATATTTGAATGACTCTTTTGTAGCAGCCAGGAAATCCGAAGGGTTGCCGTTATAGGATCTAATCAGGCATTCCTCTACCATGTGTTTTACTGTTTGCCTTTCGGCACCGCAGTCGCAATTTGGTGATTGTATTTTTCCCCATCTAAAAAGTGAGTCGGAACATCTGCCACAGTTCGTCCTTATTCTATTGAGTGTGGTCCAGATTCGTCTCGGTTGGTTGAAGCCCTCAGGTTTGCTTGTAATACATGGCATGTTCCAGTTAGCTGGTGCAGCGTTATTCTCCCATTGTTCTTTCCACCGTTCAGTTACATTAAAGTTTTGATCTACTAGCCTTTTTGCTGTTTTTAGAGGCGGGTGTCTTACACGGAGCCTATTTATGTCTCTGGCGGAAGTTCCGACATAGGAGCGGAGCTCAGGATCAGTATTAATTTTTGTAAATTCTCTGACAAGGGCATGTTCCCGGCGGATGGGTGGTGGAGCTATATGACTCAAAGCTGGTAACCAGTAAGTGGGCGTGGCCTTGATTGTGCCCGATATAGTTATTATGTATATGAAATCTTATTAACATTAGTCCAGGTACAACATCAATGTTTCTGATATAACAGTTGCTTTTAGAAAACGTTCCCGAAATTGACCCTTCTAGAGTAAACTACCTAGTAAACCATTAATAAATTCAGAAAACTAATGAAACATGATTCAAAAACCATTTATATGGTTGCAAAACAGTGTTAATTAAAAATTATAAGTGACAACTACCTAGATACTATTAACAGTAAAAAACCATTCTCTTTTCACATCTTACCTTCAAGATCATCACCAGAGAAAAACTGAGCCGTGCTGAATTTGTAAATTAAAGTAAAAGTAACACCTCCGGCGTCCCAGAATTTGACGGTTCCATCTTCGTGACCTGTCAGTAGCAACTCTCGTTTAGGTACAGCTCCTTTGGAACAAAGAAGGCTTCCTCCGTCCACAGGCCAAGAACGATTCGAGTAGAGATGGCTGGTCTGCACTTTGCCGGCGTCTTTAAGGTGCTCCCACAGTTCCTCCGGAACTCCTATAAAACAAGATATATGGTTTTTTAATCCGATAAAAGAAAAATAATCTAATTATCTTTTACCTGAAACATATTGGCTGCAAGTGACAGCTGACGCGTGTAGAGATGCCAAATACGGCAAATCCATCATTCGCCAACCATCATCCTTTAAATCGATAGCTACTATTTCTTCTTCGACTAAAACTATCAATGTTTCTGGTTCTCCCTTAGCTGTGTTATTTTCTACACTGCCGTTACTAGCTGCCGATTCGTCGTGCCCTTTAGATTCGATTAGAATAAAATCAATAACCTAAAACAAAATGAAGACGTTGGTAAAGTTGATTTTGGAAGAGTTGGTGTGTAATCTACTGGACACTGACATAACATGCTTTATTTCAGAAATCGAAACAAAATATTGTTAATAGAACCATTAATATAACAATAATTAAAAACAAAATCTATGTAGCGTATTATTCTAATTTACGTAATATTGTGAATTTAGGAAGAAAAATGAGTTGGGTGGAAGAAAACAGAACTATCAATGCTTAACAGTACAGTACTATAGCTACTTTTCATTGACAATATATGATTCTTTTAATTTTATAACAAAACGAGATACATTATAAGTGAATACATTTCAAAAATGCTACATTATGGGACGCTACCCTACGTTGTATTCTTAACTGAATATTTTTACTGATAACTTGATAACATCGATGAAATCGTTAGTTAAGGCTATAAGTCAAAAAACTAAATATCCTTATAGGCGTGCGGTGATATTGGTGTTAAAAATCTCACTTACCAAATGAAAAATAGTAAAAAACTGTAAGAATCTCAGACGAGATGAGATTGTATCTCACCCAAGCTTTTTATAATAGGACTGAACCGCCTGAGATGATGATGTTGCGTTAATAGCAAAAGACAGAAAAGAATTGCAGGAAATGCTATTAAACTTAAATATAAAATCAAAAGACATACGACTAAAAATAAATCTAACATAAATAAAAACTAAACATCTAACGAACGAATTTCTAGATATAACTGAGGATATAACTCCCGACAATAGAAACAAACAATGCAGAAAATGTTAAGTCGTGTACACACTGCCAAAGCTTAACCTAAAAGATGATTTAAATAGATGTTCCCTAACATGGGCGGCATTTGCAAAATTACAAATATTCTTGGTAAGCAAACTTACCAAATACATGAAAGGCAAAAGCTTTCGACCATTATGTATTGCCGGTCCTGAAATATGGAACTGAAACATGAGATTTTAATCACAACATAGTCCACAAACTTCAAGTGACTCGGAGAGCTATGGAACAGAGAATGCTCAATATTAAGCTCAGCGACCGTATATCTAATCAATAAATAAGAAGAAAGGTATCTCAAAATGTTACTTGCCTGTAAAATTCATTTTATTACATAAATTGCATTTATTTGATGTCAGTATTACATCACATTTTTGTTTATTATAACATTACGTATGGTACTTAACGTTATTGATATCTAAAATTATTTTACCTGAAACACTACACTTAACAAGTAATCTCGAACTGTTATAGCAGTACTTATTTCAAAATATTTTCAACACAGCCACCACCATTATTATTCATAATTCCATCGACTGAAAATTGAAGTCTAGTTCACAATTTAAAGGTGTAAAATAATGCATAGATTTCATGTCTCCACACATACAAATTTAGTAAATTCAAATCGGGAATTCGAGGTGGCCACTGAAATTCACTACCACAATCAATCCAATGACAAAAATATTCATTCAGATAATCGCGTACAACAAGTGGAAAATTAAGATCAACATTTTTTTATAAAATACCTTTTAATGGTTCTAATGAAAGATCTTCCAAAGTTTAAATTAAGTCGTGAGTTAAAAAATTTAAATATAAATCTGTTAGAGTAGAATCTGAATAGAATTTGTCTAGTATATAATTCTAATAGCCAATCATTGGCTAATTTCAGTGCCTTCAAATAATCTATGAGTGCTTACTTCAGAATTATTTGCAGCTCCAACCACAATTTCATCTTAGTGCAGTGAGTTAATAATTTTATTTAACATGTTTCTCTGTTTATATCTCTGTTTTACATTTGAAAAGTTATTATGTCTTGAAAATATTAGTACCGTGATTGTTAGGTCTACTGTAATCTTTCTTCTTTTTTAATCAAAATGCTATAATTCTTACGTTTATGATCGGTAGTTAAGTAGCATAAGTCGTTAAAAACAATGTTTTAATATTTTTAATGTGTTTAATTTAATTGTAATGTTTATGATCAAATAAATACAGTATTATCGAATAATAAAGTGACTTTGACAGACGAACAACGTTTTGAAACGTTCCGTATATTTTTTAAACCAGCGTAGAGATATGATAATACCCTATTAGCTATTCAAACATTTTTTTATGATTTTGTTTCAATCGGGAGGATATTAAAGTTTGGAAAATGCAACGATAGAGGGCAAAGGTAGCGCGACGTCCATGCAGTGATTTATTGTTGTTCAATTTTCTAGAAAACGGTTAATATTTTTTAATCGTAAGTAAAATATATGGCGTAAGTATGTGGCGCCATCTATAAATTTACTCAAATCCCATTATTTATGATTATGAATCACCCGTACAGCAGGTTATAACCCTTTACTGAAAAAATAATTTATATTATTGTATTAATTTACATTATTTGGTTGCAAACATTAATAAAACATAACATACACTTCCAGTAATGTGGGAAGAGTTAGATACCGATACATGCATATTTTATAAAAAATAAAATAACATCAACAAAATGATTTTCAAAAACCCTTAAAATTTAACATGCAATAAAATATTTAACGAAAAAACGAAAGAAACTGCATCTAGTTTAAATAGATGTCAGGTTAGTAATATAAATTTGTTTAAAACACTTAGTAAAACAAATAAAAAACGTAGATAACTATACCACATACTGAACTGAATATTTTTGACAGTTTAAAAGAAAATAACAAAGAACTAGCAACATTATTGAGTTGAATTATATCACTATTTTTTTCTTCTTCATAATTTTATGTTCCATTCAGTGGAAAGTGTGTTAATAGCTACCTCGTAGGCATGTTCCAAAGCACGTGTTCCAATGGCTAATAAGAAACGTCCTATGGGTATATAGGACCAACCATATATAGGACAGGTGAGTATAAGGTACAACCAAATAAACACCCTGGATCAACTGAGAACATAGCATAGGGAGTACAGTAGATTTGTTGACTAAGCGACATATACTCACACGCACAAACTCAAAATACACATACACACGTGCACATCTACACCATACTAAATCAGCAAATCACCAGACAGTCACATTACAATTGACTCAACATATGGTGATATTTGTGCCGCCACTACAACGCCACCACAATCTCGAGGTGTAACACCATAGTGCCACCACAATCTCGAGGTGTAACACCATAGTGTCCAAGGGATGCATGTCCGAGAAAAAAATTGTTGCCTAAGCGATGCCTCAGAGAGCTGAAGAAGTCTGGAGCATTATAGCCTTTGCACGTTATGAACGCACAGTCGTGCCTGAGATCATTTCGTTCCAACTTGTGGGAATAAAGAAGACACGAGATAAAAAGAGATGAGAAGAGGATTCATTAAATAAAAGACTTTCCTTAATCTATAAATAAAAATGTAAAGGGAACGCTAAGCGATCACAGAGCACGAACTCTGTATCTGTCTCAATGACCATAATCGGGGTTCTGCAGAGGAACCTTTAGAAGAGTAAGGCAACTTCAGCATAAGTTACTGTTGGTATGGGTAGGTTCGATCTAACTTTGATACAAGAAGCTGTAGTCTACCACGGCCAAATCAAGGTCTATCAGGTGTTGGTGCAAAGCTTATGTATAGCAGGTCTGCCGAAGTCCCAAGGACTTGTAAAATAGTTCATGGAAGCCAATTTGCTGCATATGTATAAAAGTGTAAAAGACGGGTGAACTTAACCTGCGTACGTTATAAGCGAGCGGTTTACCCCTCAAAAGACGCTTAGAAACAGAATATACCGACTAAAATTCTTTTTGCATTTCTAATGCACCAAACCTTTTTTATTCGATTCTATATATTTTTCCAAGATGAAATGTATTTTTTTTAATTTTTACAAGTGGGCCGGCAAATGTTATTAACAAATAACTTATACAAAAAAGCAATTTCACCGAATTGCTTCGGAATCAATTTTTTTAGGTGTATCTCATCAAATTAAACACTTTTTCTCTCTTGATAATTTTTCGAAAAATGCTTCCTTTTCGATTTTTTTTTCTAAAAAACTACTAAATGAATTGCAATTCTACAAATAGCTTCATAATCTTTAAACCGTCGAGTACAAGTTAGAATATTTTCACAAGGATAATTTTTTTCTATCCTGCTAAAAACGTGGACCCAAATATTTCGAATATGCCTTTCGAGCAGTCTACCCCAAGTGTGTACAGCGGTTTTTTTATATAGTATTTTTATATAGACAATGCTATAATAATGTAATTTTTCTTTTAATATACCTGGTGACTATATTATTGAATGTTTTTCAAACAAATAAAGCACAAATTTTTCCAATCAAAACTTGCAACTTTGGATCTTAAGATTTTGTTATTTTCCAAAGTGTCGACTTGGTCAGAAGCTGATTTTCTTTATTTCGACACATTTTTATCGCAATCCATACTTGAAAGTTAATAAAAATGATTTTTTTGTATGATAAAATTTTTCATAATAATCAGAATCTTTCTTATATTTGCGAAAGCAACGAAAATCGTTTGTAATCTCACAATAACTTTACCTATATAAGTGCGGCACGATATTGTTGCAACACGCGCCCAATAACAAGTTAAAACAAGTCTATATCGTTGGCGCTAATTTAGAATTATCTAAGAAATTTGTAGTGAAATGTAGAATATTTAGTAATTGTAACCTAGTATTTACCTACCTACGTAGTATTAAATAAAATTAAAATTTCATTTAATCAATTATCCGATATTTTTCATATATATATATAATATATATATATATATATATATATATATATATATATATATATATATATTACATTATTAAAACAGTCGAAAAGATTCGAGCGCCTACAGCACCTCAACCGCTGCGTGTACACGCTTAGCGGGATACTCTCGAAAGGCATATTCGAAATATTTATGTCCACGTTTTTAGCGAGATAGAAACCATTTATCCTTGTCAAAATATTCTAACTTGTACTCGACGGTTTAAAGATTATAAAGCTATTTGTAAAATTGCAATTCATTTAGTAGTTTTTTAGAAAAAAAAAATCCCAAAAATCACTAATTAAGGCATTTTGTCAACAAAAAATGCAAATAACTCGAAAAGGAAGCATTTTTCGAAAAATTATCAAGAAAGAAAAAGTGTTTATTTTGATGAGATACACCTAAAAAATTGATTCCGAAACAATTCGGTGAAATTGCTTTTTTGTATAAGTTATTTTTTAATAACAATTGCCGGCCCACTTGTAAAAATTTAAAAAAAATACATTTCATCTTGGAAAAATATATAGAATCGAATAAAAAAGGTTTGGTGCATTAGAAATGCAAAAAGAATTTTAGTCGGTTGATGCTCTGCTTATAGGGGTAAACCGCTCGCCTATTAAAACCTCAATATGTTCCGTATAAGTATTTGCATGTGTGCTAATAAAAACTAAAGGTGATCTGTTCTGCTAATGTAGGTATATTATCGTACTTCATAGCATTAGGACTGTAAGGATTATTATGTTATTGGTAGAAAAATACGGTGAGAAGAAAAGGGAGCTAAATTTGGTATGTATAAGTCGTGAGAAGGCGCACGACATAGTTCCTAGACAAGAGCTATGGAGACGTATGAGAGGGAAATGGACTCCTGAGAAGTACATAAGGCTCGTGAATGATATGTGTGAGGGAGAGTACATCAAAGTAAGGATTTGTGTCGGATTGACCGAAAGTTTTCCAGTGAAGGTTAGTTGACATCTCGGCTCTTCATTGAGTCCATATCCGTTTAAACTTGTTTTGGATGTACTGACAGAGAAGATAAGAGAGAGGGTTCCTTGGTCAATGCTCTTTGCGGATGATGTCGTGTTATTGGAAGAAAGAAATGCTGGACAAATTGAATGGTTGGATAAGGACTATTGAAGAAGGAAGATTTAAAGTTAGCAGGTCAAAAATGAAGTAAAGTAGAAGTGGAGTAGAAGAAAAACTAGAATGAGTAGGAGAATTTAAATACCTAGGTTCCAATGGGACACTAAATCGAGAAATTGCCGACAGGATACATGCAGGTTGGTTGGTTTAACCGGAAGCGAATTAACGGGGTACTCTGTGATAGACAAATCCTTGAAGGACTGAAAGGAACGGTATACAAGAATGTGGTGAGGCCTGCGTTGGTGTATGACGGTAAAGTGTGGCCTGTAAAGAAGGTTCAGGAAAAAAAGATGGAGGTAGCTGAAATGAAAATGTTACAGTGAATGTTGTGTATGATTGGGAGGGACAAGATCAGGAACGACGTGATTAGGGAAAGAGCCGGGGTGATTCATCATCATCATCAATTAGCCTGTATTTGCCCACTGCTGAACGTAGGCCTCCCGTAAAATTTTCCACCTATTTCCGTCTTAAGCTTCTTGCATCCAGTTTGTGGTGATTCGCTTGATATCATCCGTCCATCTAGTCGGTGGTCGTCCTCTGCTTCGATATGCATCTTGCCTTGGTCGCCATTTCAGAATCTTTTTGGTCCATCTGTCATCCGTTAATCTGGCAACAGGTCCGGCCCAAGCCCATTTAGCCCTGGCTATTTTTTCAACTGCATCTGTGACTCCTGTTCTTCTTCTTATTTCTAGGTTTGGTACTTTATCTCTGATGGTAATACCTCATATTGATCTTTCCATTCCGGGGTGACTACAGTTTAAAAAAAAGGTTCAAGAACAGACACTGCAATTGTTTGGTCACGTCAGAGAAAAAGTTAGAAGTTGAGGGAAAGAAAGGTAGAGGAAAACCGAGAAGATGGAAAGACTGCGTGGCAGAGGAGTTGAGAGAGAAATGTTGAAATCAAGAAGACAAGATGGACATAAATAAGTAGCGAAGAAGAGAAAGGAACAGCGACCTCTGAGAAGGGAAAAGCTGAGGAAGAAGGATAATATCTTGTTCCGCAGCAAATTGCACATTTCTGCGTGTAATAGCCATACTCTTCTGATTTAAACTGATCTATCAGTACATGTTTCATGTAAAGTATCACGATGTCGAGGTTGAGTATGTACAGTATTGTACGCATTAATGGAATCACTGTGAATTTTTTTTCATTTTTTCAATATTCACAAGAAAATATTTTGGGGATGTTTTTCATACATGGGGGTTGGATCTTTGGTGCCAATTGAAGGCATGATGAACAGCCAAAAATACAAATCCATGTTGGAAAAGTATATGGACAAACAACTCCAAAAATGTCAACCCCAAGGAGGAGCGATTCTTCAACAGGACTCTGCTCCCTGTCACAAATCAAAGGAAATGATGGCATTTTTCAAAAATAAGAAGATTAATGTTTTAGATTGGCCCGGTAATTCGCCAGACCTCAACCCCATTGAAAATTTATGGGCCATTTGCAAAGCTAGACTGCGAAAAATCGACTGTACCACTAATACAAAAATGATAGAAGCGGCCATTCAGGTTTGGTATCGAGATGAAAGGATATCTGACAACTGCCAGAAACTCATAGAATCTATGCCAAAACAGGTAAAAGCAGTAATTGCTGCCAAAGGGGGACATATTTCCTACTGAATGATGTAAGTTTACCTTTATAGTTTTGTCAAAATATAATTTTTTACTAAATAAACTTTTTTCATTAAAACAGCCTATGATTCCATTAATTCGCACAATACTGTATTTCGCAAAATATTGCCGCCATAAAGACTTTTTGTTGCAACCTCCTACTAATGATTTCTGAGAATGTTGTGGAAATCATGTGTAATTTTCAATTGCCACGTTACTCAAGATCGTCTAGAGCCATAGAAGATAAATATGGACTTCATTTCATACTATTTGCACAAAAACAGAAATTTGTCTATTTGAAACAATGTGTCTCCCTTGAATTCTTTTAAATTATTTTAATTGCTCCTTAAACATTATTTTTAAATACACCTTTTGGAATTGATATTTTATATATTATTATTTGATAGATGTGGAACTAGGTTATGTTGCTAATTCTTTAATCAAAAAACACCATGCAAAATTTAACCACTGTGCCGTCATCTAAGTACCTTATTTCCGACCTGTTCAGCGTCACTCTCGCTATCATTTTCGGACTTTTGAATTCCGATCTGCCCGAAATAAAAAAGAGATGTAAACAATTTTAAATGTTACAACAAACTAAAGCAGCTTTAATGGTAAGATGGTAATGAAATATAATGATATTTTAACTTACTATTAAATTTAGATCAGTACAAATGAAAGTTCATTAATAATATATGACAATTCTTATTCATGATGAGACATTTTGCACTGTTTCAATTGTTATTTTGGTAACGTTCACATAATTCGGTTCCACGTCTATTTTTAACAGTTCGTACGATAATATCAGTTTCTGGTTTCAGAAATTGGTGTATTTATGTTTATATGGAATATCATAATTATCTTATCCACAACTATTATTGTTCTTACAGTTCTTTGTATCGTAGTATAGTATATCGTAGTATAGTGCTCGCACGAAATTTCTCGCTTGCTCCCTCTCTTTATTGGAACGCATATTAAACATGAAAGTTAAATCTAGTTCGGTCAAATTTATAAATTAGTGGCCAAAGTTTTTTTTTTCGATTATCTTAGTAACTTCTCACCAGTAAACTTGGAGAATACGCAAATACGAATACGAAATGGACTTTCATTTAATACATCCTTTGGGTTTAAGGGACAACCATGTTTACTGAATTATAAGTAGAGTATAATAGAAATAGCGGTAACATGTTAAGTTCTGATTCTTTTATGTACTCAGCCATCTTTATAGCACACGTATCTTTTATTGTTAAATTGTATTTTCACGCTGTATTTTCAGTAGACCTCTCATACGTTTTATATACGTGTATTCATCTAAATAGTATGAAATCACATAAATTTCTGTTTAAAATTATATGCTCCGATTATACTGTAACATGTTTCGCTGTACTCATTAGATAAGTCAAACATTATAGGCTCCAAAAGTCTCCATAGGCTTTTGATAAGCTTAGTAAGTAATAAGGAAATGAAAAATGAACTGACACAAAGCCAAAAATGTGATTCAAAAAGTGTCAAAAAATGCTTTTTTACATCTCACCGTGAAAACATATTTTGTTAGTTCAAAAGCAAAGCAGTTACAAAGCTAATACATAACTTCAATCCAACAGAAAAACTACTCACTTTACTAGTAAAATCGAAGGCCGTGTGTTTCTCCCCGTGAGCTACAGAAACCGTGAATTTATCGCTGTAGGATCTGGGCAGACCTCCGGAGAATACCAACAGATTGTCGTCACCGAGTTTTCGGCTCAAAATTTTGGGAATGCTTTTACAGGAATAGGGTCCGTACGTAGTCACCGGCTCGCTGATGGGTTTTTCGGATTGATCGACGTTCCATTCCATGTAGCTGCCTAAATTAAATAACAAATAGCTGTTACTAGTATTAATATACATTTTAAGAAATTCAGAAAGCGTTCACTACTATACTGTACAGTAATGTTCTGTGAACTTTCAACTATAATCATAAACAATGAAACAACCAATATGAAATGATACACACTATCTAGAACCTCTACTATAACAAGTAATCTAAAGAAGAAACTCTTAACCATTTCCCATTTCATTGTCGCGGTACTAATGTGTTTCACTGTACCAGTGACATCTAAATTACCTGTATCATATAACTTTTGCCAAAGGAATAACCACATACAGAAAAATAAATCTTGTACTTTATGCGTCACAACGGATACTTAGGGAGACTACAAAATGATTACAAATACTTTAGAGACCATTGTTGTGAATTCCTTAGACAGCCTAGCCTATAGGACAAATATCTCAATATTGGAGGAGCAAAGATGGCAAGGCAAGAAGGTATTGACAATGTAATTCTTAAATAATAGATATACATAAAAATATAAGAACGCGGGTGGCCAACGTGGAGACCGTCTTCAACAGGTGCTCACGTAAAACGTGGGGACTTGTTGAAAAAATAAAAAAAAAATTTTTCTTCAAACTCGGTAAAAACTCATCTTTCAAACTACGCCAATGACCCGTACTGTAAAGTAGCAGCAACAATCTTGTCCAGACACATTAGTCACCAGAAACCTTTGCCATTATTTTTCCGATTCCATGGTATATTACCATGGTATTAGGATGAATGAGTCATAAGATAGGATCGGTTAAACAGAAAGTACTCTTTAGAACTGAACAAGTAAACACTAATTAATGGTACAAGAACTTCATCACTCTATTTGATAACTATTCTAAAGTCGCTATTTATTAGAACATCTCTCTTCTCTCTCTCTCTCTCTCTCTCTCTCTCTTCTCTCTCTCTCTAGTTCCATCCTTCCTTGTGGAGTATTGGGCGCTTGTGCGTTTCTTGGTCAAAAGAACATTACTGCAGAAAAAAATGCAGAAAGCTGAACGAATATATTCACAATATCCAATAGTATATAAGACTACTATCGAATCAATAAAATACTTATTTCAAGATTTATATTAACTATTTAAAATTTTGAACATTAGTAACTGAAATTTTACCGTCATTATGTGAGCTGAAAAAATTTCGACCGTCTTCCTTCCAGCACAAACATTCTAACTGTTGGTTTGCTATAAAAGTCTTCACTGCTGTATTATCGACCCTATTCCAAAGTACTATAAGGCCTCTGTTGTAACCTATTAGAATGTTGTTGGGTTGATCTGGCTGCTCGAATATTGACTCAACGGCTCCTGGATTAAGTTTATAGTCTTGTGGAACACTAAAAATTTAAGATTTAATAGAGGCATTGAACGTCTTATTATAGAATTTCGTTGAATTATGTTAGAAATATTTGCTATAAACAATACTCACTTTTGCATAACAACATCTTGGTAAATAATATCGGGTGTCATGGTAAATGTATTCAAATCCAATAAATATATATTGCCACCTTCCGTGCCTAACAACAAGTGTTTCCCCGCAGATTCCAGGCACATCGTTGATATTTTTTTAAGTTTGCCCTCTAGAGCCTGTGATTTAACTTCTACCAAGGAGCTTTTGTTGACTTCCCATAGATGGAGTGAATTATCGTCGCATAGAGAGACAACTCTACCTGCAAATAAAAAATAATTAATGAAATGTTTAAGAAAATTGGTTATTTATTTATCGTATGGCTCTTGGAACATATACACATTAACACAAGTTTACAAACGTACATCTAAATTATTTATATAGTCTATCGACTCTGGAGTCGCCGTTAGGAAGTTTTCTGACCTGCCATCATATGATCTTGTGGAACATTGTTCTGTAATGTGTCTGATGCTTTGTAGTTGTAAGATAGTTTATGCGTCGTATTTTGGCTGGTGCAATGTGGCTCAGGACTGGAAGCCACTGTGTGGGAGTGAATTTGGCAACGCCAACAATCATTCTCATTGTGTTGTTTCATAGTTGGACATCTATTTTTTGTACATGTAGGCTGTTAAGAAAAACAGTATTTCGCTGAAGAGAAGACCATGCCCAGGGCAGATGATCGCAGAGGGATGCTGATGCTGCTCATTTTGTACCACACAGTGTCTGATTCTGACTTTCAGTTTTTCCGATATTTTTGTCAGATGCTCTTTGAAGGATACGATTCTATCGAGGGTCACCCCTAAGTACGTGGTGTCTTCGAATTGTATGTTAACTATTCTTTCTTCAAGCTTGTTATTTTGGGTACAAACTGTAAACTTCTGTTTTCGTGCGTTTGGTTGGCCGATGTATAAGTAATCAGATGAGAGATACAGTCCTGCGAACAATGACGCTCACTCATTTATCCCTGATCAATGCTGGTAGATGGTGAGACGTTAGGAAACCGGGTCACATACATATTTATTTTGCCAAACAATCAGTGAATATTAAAAAAAGGAATATTTACCTTGATTAGGGAGGAAGACTAGTTTCGTAACGGCGATGGGGTTTTGATGCTGCCCGTAGAATTCTACCCCTGGTTGTCCGAAGACTTTGATAGCGCCAGTTGCCGTTCCTATACATATTAATCTCAGCGATGAATCCCAAGCTAGAGATGTCGGTTTGTGTGGAAATCCGTGTTGGAGAGTCTGTAAAAAAGAATAAGATAATGAATATTTTGAATATTTTTGAGATAATAAAACGGCCCAAAAGAACTTGTAATTACCGTTTTGTGATAATTGTCATAAATATATTTATAAAAGACTGTGTAATTCTTGTCCACAATGAATATTTTATGTTTTACAAATGTAAAAAAACGTAAAAAAGAAAAAAGAGGTTAGATCTTTGTAAATGGGTATATTTAAAAAACCCTTAAAAGGGCTACATCAAATTACACAAACGTTTTCGGAATAATAATTCCATCATCAGCTTTAAAAATGCAAGTTAACATGTCTGAGCCACCAAAATATCAGGGTAAAAACCCTTTAAATTACTTAAGGTTACAAAAGATTGTACATAATGTAATTAATATTTGATGTTTAACCCATGTCTTAGGTGAGTTCCAGCGTCCGGAGAGTAAACCTCTTCCAACGGACTTCAGCTGGTAACTGGTATTTTGGTGGCTCAGGCATGTTAACTTGCATTTTTAAACCTGATGATGGAATTATTATTCCGAAAACGTTTGTGTAATTTGATGTAGCCCTTTTAAGGGTTTTTTAATATACCCATTTACAAAGATCTAACCTCTTTTTTTGTGATACGTTGTATTTGTTGTTTTTTTTTTCCGCAACATTTTGAAGTTTCTTTCGATATTTTTCTGTTGTTTTAAATATTTATAATAAATTATTAAATATTGATTACGCAGATACAAACGTAAATAAATATGCTTTGAAAGTCTATTATATTTTAATCTGAAACCCAAATAAAATTACGTATTACACACCCAAATTGCTATTTATTAATTACTTGAGATAGGATAAACCATTTCGGCAATTTATAGGTATTCTTAGTAAGTGTCTATTTATATTCTGCTTATCTGGAATGAATGTTCTTAATCCCTATACTATAAAAGTCATATTATTATGTCAAGAACATAATGAGTTTTCGATAAGGCGTAAACGAAAAGTGTTCAACAATTTAGAGGTAGGTGACTCATGGATTTATTTTTATAGGTATAGAAAATAAAATGAATTATGGCTATATTTGCTTTTAAATATCAATAAAAATTAATCATTTTGCACGTTATATAAAAATTGTTTGCTATACGGTTTTGTCGATTGATAACCTAAAAACTGAGAAAAACTACTTTTACTAATTCTTATTCTCAACCTTGTCATGATCTACCATTCCTCCTACCATTTTCTTAATTTAGTTACCAAAATGAACAAACAAAACCAGATTTTTTAATAAAAACATTTTAGTTTTCAATATAGTCTCTGTTCACTCAACACACTTTTTCCAATGAAATTAAAAATTAGCGCAATTTAGTCATTGTAGGTCGGCGAATATGAGTTCTCAAAATAGCTATATGTATATATCTCACAACCGAGCCATTTTTTCAGGTTTAGCAACAGATAATATACACTGGGAGTCTCCATTCTCGAGAATATGGCACTAATGCAAAACCCGATTCACTAATTTTGTACCTACATGATGATTACATATCTTTTTCTTGTCTAGAGATATATGAATGAAAATAAATATCCAGACACAGATAAATACCTACTTAGGGTTATAAAACCAAAAGAAGGAAAATCCCAGATTGTGCAGTTTGATTAACGGTATCAACGAAATTATTTATTCGTTTGAAAGGCCTCCCCAAGTTTTTTTAAGCCCTTTTCTCTATTCAGTTTGCCGAATATAGGCCTCTCCTAATTCTCGCCATTCATCTCTGTTGTTTGTAAGACGTTTCCACATTGGCCCTGCAGTTCTTTTAATATCGTCTCTCCATCGCATTTTCGGTCTTCCTCATGGTCTTTTGGTTTCATATGGCCGCCAATTCCCGATTTCTTTATTCCATCAGCCATCCGTAAGACATTCCTTATGTCCAGTCCATTTCTATTTCACTTTAGCTGGCTGTTCGACAGCATATTTACTTTTGTTCTATTACGAATGTCTTCATTGGTTTTATGGTCTTTGAGTGAGATACCCAGCATCTGTCGTTCCACATCTCTCTGAGTTTTTCTGATTATCTCCATGTTTATTTTAGTAAATGTCCAGGTTTGAGCTCCATATGTACGATACAGGAATTAAACACTTTGGTTCGCAGTCTTTGAGGTATATTTTTATTTTTAAGTACGTATGAGTCTTCCGAATGCTGCCCATCCCATTTTTACACGTCTGCATATTTCGGTAGTTCGTACTCTTAACTCCCTTTATTACTATGTATAAAATATAACATTTTTCAAATGTCCGTCGCGGCTTCGCTGGATCCTCATGACTCTGGCGTATAAATCAAGCTGAATTTGATCAATGGAATGACTTTGAGAGCCTCTGTGATTTGTGGCTTACTCGCATAGACCTGCGACTTAAGAAAACCCCACAGCTCACATCATCTCCATTTGAGAAGACCATACTCTCAAATCTCTCGTGCAGAACACATGTCCTTGCAGTCATTACAATCCAATTAAGGCTAAAAGAAGTTGACAATCATTGACCTCTAGCTCTCACCATTGACAAGGTCGATAGATTATAAAATATGATCAAAGATTTACAAGAATAGAAAAAAAAATTTTTAAAATATAATATTCGCTCCGTGCGTGACCATGGTAGGGGTACATTGAAACGACGCCAGCGTGCATAGCGGCGAAATATGACAAAATTGGAATATTGGACAAAATATTTTTACGCATAAATTTTATCAAAATTGTGTGCAAATACATGTTGCGTATTTAATTGTGCTAATAATAGCAATAACAGTGAGTGTAGTTTTTATAGGTTCCCAAAGATTACATATAAATTAGAGAAAAGAAAAAGATAAATTCCGGCTATTAATATGAAAAAGTAAATATCACATAATTTCATTTTTACGCAATTGAAATAGGAAAAATTTAAATAATTTACCTTGAATGATATTTCATAAGGCTTCAAGCTAACTGCAGATGACTTTAGCTTTTATATCATACCTTTTACTATTATTGTTTTTAATTATATGCTCTTTTGCGTGAAAAACTTGATTTGTCAGTACTAGATTTTTCCCTTTCTCTTACGTTTGGAGTTGAAAAGATATATTATGATGAATTTTGAGAAACCCAGTTTTTAATACTACATTTATTTTATACATAAACTGAAAAAATATAGTTAAAAAACTAATTTATTAATAATTGTCAATTTCGCATGTATTTAACAATGTCAAACATATGTCATATGTTTAACCTGAAAATTGGGACTCCAAAATTGTCAGAAAAAGGCGGTAGGTGTCGTGTCAGTCACGCACGGAACGAATAGGAGTTAAAAATATTGAAGTCTAATTAACTCTTGGTCTAAAAATACTGAGTGTGAAGTCTTTTAGTACTTTTCTGTAGTGTTATAACTGTGTATGAACAGGAAGTTAAGTCAAAATGCACTGCAAGAATTAACCCTTGAGTAGTCGGATGCTTACTTTATGTCGGACTACGCTGATATGTTTGATAGTTATTTGCACTTTTGGTCTGTCTATTCGACTATTCGAGTAACTTTTGCGAGTTGGACAAGTAAATTTATTTTCCTATTTTTTGTACAGTATAAACTACACAAAGTAAGTATTTTAATTCCTATGGTTATACATAAATACAGAAATGTTCCAGTCTTTAATTTTTCTCTCTTGTATTTCAAATTTCAGTGATGGATCCTTATCTGAAAGAAATATTGATTTGGAAAGCGAGCCAAAATCAGACAGGTGTGAACAAAGTCACCACAACACAGACACAGAAGAAGAATGGGAGAAATAATTGAAAACATAATTGGAGGAAGGATTGGGGGAGGAACCTGACACTTTAAAATATTTTGAAACAAATACGGAAAATCCGTGGCTTTTTTATTATGCAAAAGATGGGGTATCCTGGAGAAAACATGCACCCCAAAAAATGTTCGGACAAGAAGTTCTAATTTAATTTTATACTTACCAGGTTCAAAAGGAAATGCTCGTCAAGCAGTTGATCCTTAGTGTTGGAAATGTTTTATTGATGATAATATTCTCGAAACCATTGTACAGAACACAAACATATTTATTTCTAAACTAAGAAACAATTGGTCTATTATACTTAGCTAAGGTTATCAAAGAAAGCCACCGAAATTGCAAAGAATTTTGGGCTACTGATGGAGCAGGCGAAGGGGTGTTTCGAGTTACTATGGCTCATAGGCTATTTGTATTCTTGCTACGTTGCTCGCGTTTTGATGATGTAAAAACTAGGGAAGAAAGAAGAACCATAGACAAACTTGCACCAATAAGAAACGTTTTTGACCAATTTAATCAGAAATGCAAACTTAATTACGTTCCTGGATCTTACTTAACATTAGACGAGATGCTTTTTACATTCCGTAGATTTTGCAGATTCCGCATGTACATCCCGAATAAGCCAGCCAAATATGGCATAAAAGTATTTTCCTTAGTGGATGCCAAATGTTTTTACACGGTAAATATGCAAATATATTGGAACAATTCGAAAAAATAAAAGGGAAATTCTAAAGGAACTTCTTGATCCCAGCAGACCACAGTACTCGTCTATGTTTGCATTTTCCAAATCCATTATTTTGGTGTCGTATATTCCAACGAAAAAAAAAACGGTTGTGTACACCCGTTCACCGTTACACATTTATATGGGAATAATTACATATGTAATGCTATAGGTAAGAGAGAGCAGAAAGAGAAACAGAATTAGGTATATAGGTATAGGGTGCATCGTTTGCTGTATATAAACAGCATTTGACCTGTAATAGGAGTATAGTAAATGAAGGATTGAATCAATATTTTGATGAAAATGTATATTTTTATTTTCATATAATATGTATGAAAGGATTTGAATGCAAAAAAAAATTTACACATACTCTGAAGTAAAATTCATTGTTTATTTTGATTAACATAAAAATACAATACAATACAATACACTGCAACATAATTCAATATAATAGTACAATACAAATTAAAATACAATATTTATAAGTATTTAAA